TGACCCATCTACCAACCTCTACATGAAAAACCTGAGTAGTGTTTTGTAAATGTACATTAAATGTGTACAGAATTTCTTAAGGGGGCATCCAGATTGTTAAAAACAAGTAGAAACATGCAAGTAGCATGTGCTTTTTCATGCAACGCAATCGAAACAACAAATAACAGATGTGTTTGTGGCTCCTTTACTTTTTATAGCATGGAGTTGGAAATCACCTTATTTCCCAGGAACTATATTGTGTGGTAGTTACCAAAGCTTTACAGTGCTAGGACCTCTTTTATTCACAACACGCACAGATATAATCAAGGCTTTGGTTCATGTTTTTAAAATAAAACCTTGGCAAGATTAAACCAGCTTTGTAAAAAAAAAAAAAGATTTATAGTTATACAGATACAATATCCGTATTAACGCTAATCCTCAAATCTGTAGATACTGTCAACAAGATATTATTGGATTGAGTATTTCGAACACTTAATCCAAATATTATAAAAACATACCTATTTTAAATGAAAATTGTTGTTTACAAAATGACATTGAACAGCCCAACCTTACCACCATTCCAGAATAACATTTAATTAGTGGTGCTTGCTAAGGCAAGCATCGCTATGGCTGTTACTCATCCTTGGGGCTAGACATTTGAACAAACCTTGTCCTGTCGTTTGTGGTACAGACATGAATGATACCTGAAATCATGTGGCTTGTTGAGGAGAGTGTGCTATTGTGATTTAATGATGATATAATGACCAAAAAATTATTGAAGGAAAGACCCGAACCATATCTGAGGACCAGAAGGGTGGGCACTTTTGACTCACCATGTAACGTATGGAAGCAACCTCACTGAACACCTTGCCAATACTCTATAAGGTTTGCAAATATGAGTGTCACTCAGTTTTCTAAAATTATCCTGACATCAGTCTGTGCTAAGGAGAGCATTACTTGTAATTTTCACTTTGTTGCACATAACAAAAAGTGGATGATGAGTAAATAATCATTACTTTAATGTAATCATTACTTTAAAAGCATGACACTTGACACGTAGATTTTTTTTTTACTTGACTTGACTTTGCCCTAAACTCTTATCCATATGGTTCTGAAAAAATGAACTTTGAGTCTTCTAGTGACACACATTTTTTTTAGCTTCTGACAATGTCTTTAAGTATTTTGCAATAAGATAAAAACAAATGGAGACTTTACTGAAGTCTCCTGCTACTCAGATTTTTCTCCAGAGAAAAAGATCTTTGTAGCCTTGCGTGTGTCTCCTTTAAAACTTGTTAGAAGAGGTCTCAACAATATCTCACACTGTTTAGATACGTGCGAGACACTAAATCATGCAATTTGCATATGAATGCAATCATTTTCAACACACTGGCAATTCATAACTATTTTATGTTCGGCGAATTGGTGGCAAAGTCGTGAATTCATACAATCTCACTCAAGGGTTAGGTTTGGGGTGGACCTCAATGCGTTTTTTTAAGTTTTAGTATGAATCCAATAATACAAATTCATATGAATTTGCTAACTCTCGTGAGATTGGGTTGAACATTTGCCATCAAATTCTTTGATTTTATATCTCAGTGTATAAACAATTCATATTTTTAATAAATAATTATATATGTCTCTTCAACTACAAAAGACCCAATTTTAAGCAAAAAAAAATAAAAATACTCAATTTGATCAAGGTTAATGAGTGTTTTGTCTTTGTTTTTATTCTGGTTCTTTTTTTTATTCAGAATTTTTTTTTTCTCTGCATGCTTCACTTTTGAAACTAAGCTTCTGTGAGAAACTGTCTTGTAGTCTGTGAGATCTGTTAGATTTAAGTGAACCATTTTTTTCTGCAGAGAAGTTAACTGAAGACGAGTAAAAGCAGGATCCAGATTAAGGTCATCTTTACATAGTCACATACTTAAACTGTCACAGAGCTGAAATCAGACCACATCACAGTCTCGCACCCATCTGCCTCACACCTCTTTCCATGGAAAGCATCAGCTCATAATCCAGCATCATGCGGCATTACATGACATCTGTGTAAACAGAGCAAATAATGTAATTCAAGGAAAGTAAAAGTCATGTGACAGTCAAGTCTCTTTGCAGTCAAAACATAACTATACAACGAACATATTATTATCAGCTTTATCTATAGATTTTTGCTTACCCATGCAGAAGCCACCGCCGTGTTGTGTTGTGTTGTGTTGTGTTGTGTTGTGTTGTGCGTGGTTGCTGAGTGGCTTTGTTGCTTTGCAGTTGCTAGGCATTCTGGGCAGTTGCTAGAGACTTCTGGATGGTTGCTTATTGGTCAGTCAAAAGAGCCCACCCTAACTCAGATATGAGTGGTTTTGTTGCAATCATAAGTACAATCACTTGTCAAAAGTGTTCATGTCTGTAGGATGAACAGTGTGGCCCAAATTAATTGCCAAAGTTTGGTTAGGAGTATTTTAAAAATTGAATATAAGCAATAGTAATAATGATGCATGCCTTCTTTTGAAACCTGCATGTTTTTTTGAACACTTATCTGGTTTGATCTCTGCAAGACTGGTACACTGGAAAATGTTTACCTAGCCAGAGAAAGCAAACATAGTTGACTGTCATGTGTTCTGTGTTGTTCTAAGCAGGAGAAATGTGTTGATACAGTTGCTCTGTCTTAGCGGCCTCCAGCCTTCAAAGGCCTTGCCTGTTCCTTCAACAGTTTGTTCCAAGTGGCCAAAAGTCAATCAAGAAGCAGAGCAGTGGGAAAAAGGGGGTAAGGGAGGAAGAAAACTTAATTACTACATATTCAACCCCTGCTTCTTTTTCCCTCTTTTCTTCCTTTCCATTTCCATCTTGGCACTGAAAGCTGTGGCTCTTGCCAAATACAGCTAATGTGTGTGAAGGATGAATGGTCACACTCAGTGCAGAGTCTTGCCGTGCACTTAATATAGCTGTTCTCCCCATAAGCAACTAATTTCCTCTGACAAACTGTAGTATGCTTTGCTTTTCTGTTCGCTCTACATGCATGCTGAACGCTGTGTGACTCGGTGATGTCATTGCTGCTCCACCCAGCGTCCCTTTGCTTGCATTTCTGGCAGGAGAAACCAGTTTTACTGCAATCTTATATAATTCTGTGGTCACATCATTCAAGACTGCACAAAAAGGGCTGACTGGGGTCATGAACTAATGATGGCATAGCATTCAACAGCTTCTGAATACACCTTGAATTGATAAAAGCTGCAGCATATTCATTTTACAAAATGAAATAATAATTTTTTGTGCTAAGAAAATATTGCAGTTGCTTACACAAAAGTTAACATGTGATGTAAGAATGTATCTGAGCAATTGCTTGTATTAACTTTAGCACTGTGCGACATGTTTGCCTCAAGTAGGCTACTTCATAGATTGGCACGTGGCTCTCTTGAGAAGGGTTTGAAACCCGGTTTTGCGTCTGAAAAATAATAAGCACCATACTGCCACCTAGGGGTATTTTGAAAATGGTTACATAAACCCATTTTGAAGAGACAGGAAACAATTCATGATAAGAACTATAAAAATCTAGTTGTTATAAAAATGCATACAATATATATATATATTAACACCAACAGCAATACTGGCATTAAGATATTGAAAGAAATCAGACTGTTATAATCACCCCTGTTGAAAAAAAGAATCATGTTATCCCACTGTGTCTCAACTAAGACAACACTGAGGAACTCCAAGGATCACCCTAAGTCTTTTTCAGTGGATTTCAGTGCATTTACATGCATTATACCTCTTATAATAATTTAAGATACGAATAAAATTGCACATTCCTTCCTGTGCAGCACTCTTTACCAAAACCTCCAGCCATATCTAAAAGGCCACTGCTCATGGCAACAAAATCAGGTGACAATTGCAGACATTAAGGGTACAGTCTATTCACGACCTTTTCTGTGGAGAACATTATGGAGATATATGAGCGGGGCAAACAGCAATGCAAAGGTCATGGCAATTTAAATACTAACTCTCTGACGTCATGGCTTCCATCTGGAGCCTGCACTAAACCAATAACACAGTCAACACATGATTCACCTTGTAGGAATAAAAATAAACATGATAAATGTTGTTTTATGCACTAGATGATTTGGCAGTGAGATTGTGGGCAGAAGGTTTATGTAGGCCTTCCTTTTAAATTTATTAGACATCAGCTAATATCCACCATGATTCTTCCTTTTCAATCAACCATGATCTGCAACCTGATTGACAAAAATGTATAAATTAGCCTAAAGGTAATTTATAAGTCTGTTTTAACAAATAATAAAAATTCATACTAAATTCATATTTATATTCAAACTAGGTCATCACAGCAGTGCTTAACTGGTATTCAGGCCAACAGTGTTGTAAGTGTGTTTTTATACAACAGTTCAATAAACAAGAAGTTAAGTAACTTATATTTGCACACAGCATTGCCTGTTACTTTGTGTATTTTGCTCCGCCAAAGACAGTTCCAGACGAAGCTAAATCGACCATTGAGCTCTCAGAGCAACAATATTGTGATTGAATCAGATGAATAAATGATTCAATGACTCACTGTTGAATGTGTTTTTATTCCATTGCCTGTATATAAGATTAGTATTGACCAAGTTCAGAGGCTGTCATATGTGGATTAACCATGTTGTGTATTTTCAAGTTTCAATATGAAAAATAACTTTTATATTGATACAATGGATTTATTGCATTTTGAAAAAAAAAAAAAAAACCGTGTCATGGATTTATTGAATTTAAAAAAAAATAAAAAATACAATTGTATAATAAATCTTTGAAAATCAAAATCTGGATTTGAATTTTTTATGTTATTATAACCTAAAGATGCTATGTGAACGTTTGAAACAGAAAATAGTGGTTTTCATCTTGCCACTTTCTTGTTAAAGAAATCACATTTTTACTCAAATTAATCCAAATGGATTTATAGCGTTTTGGAACCAAACTCTTCATATGTAATGTAAATATTTGTGTCTCGATGAGTTTATATACTGAGCGGAATGAGGAACAAGACTTGTATTTTGAAAAGCGTCACAGATGGAAGCCATATGTGGGGAAATGTTCGCGTCACTTCAACTACCACCTCACGTAACAGTATAGCTGCTAGCTAGTGAAAACAGATTATTTTCATTAAATATGTATTTCGAAAATCAACGGTTTTTGTTTCAGGGTTCGGCGCTGTGGGTCAGCAGTACATGAGCGATTTCAGCACCAAAGAGCCCTCAATTGTGCGGTTATTATCGGTTTCAGCTGTCTAAACAGGCTAACAGTAAGACACATACCAGTCTTTGCTTCTCAATGATGAGCTCTCAAATAGATAAACAGTGAAATATCTAAGACATAAACGCACACAGAAGCATGGACGAAAAATACAGCAGTAATGTCATCTCAGGTGGGAAGCTGGGACGAGTTGAGACTCCAGATGCCAGGTAAGACAAGAATCTGTGTTAATATTTCCCTAAATACTCAAAACAACAATTACTTTGGCAGTACCATGTTACACTTTTTTGTGAGGTATATGCATTGCCTTGATTGGTTAACACATTTAGAGAACACTTTGGTATTACCATGATGGTAGTGTCCAAAACCTATGGGTTTTGTGGTATTTTTATGGTAATAACATTGTAGTTTTTGGTAAGAGCAGCACAACTTGTTCTTGTCGGTTTTTACTTTTCTACTTCAACTGAATGTTTTTTTGTTTTTGTTTTTTATTTCCAGACTGACCCGGTACATAGTATTACTCTACTTTACCAAGCTGCTGAAGGCTTTTGGGATATTTGAGTCATATGATCTCCTTAAAGTTGTGCACATTGTACAGTTTCTCTTTATTTTGAAAATGGGGTAAGGAATGACATCATAAAATGAATATATTACAGATTGTGAATGTCATGATTGTTGATTTACAGTATTTTGATGATATAAATTCCTCCTTTTCTGCATAGGTGTGCAGTGATACTGGTTTTCTTTCAAAAGCCATTTTCATCTGGAAGAATGATTCCTAAGAGACAGGTAGTATGTTCTTCAATTTTGAAGTTCTTACCTCTTAAATGGTTAGTTCAGCCAAAAGTGAAACCATTGTCATCATTTACTCTTTCGTTCATCTTCAAATCACAAATGAAATATTTTTTATATTCTCTCATCATTTTAGTCCTTCCATTGAAAGTCCTCAAAACTCAAACTTTCATACATTAAAAAAGTACAAAAAGATGATGTAAGAGTAATCCTTATTAATTAAGTGGTATAATACAAGTATTCTGAAGAGACGTGATCACTTTATATGATAAACTGATTCAATTAAAGCTTTTATTCACATAGCCGAACTGTACTTGATTGAACTAACCCTTTAGAGGCAATAAGACACTGTTTACTTAATACACATTCCTGGTCTAATTTTGCACGATACATCAATGAACTTCTCAACTGACATAAACTATTTAATGCCATTTAATGTTGATTGTATTAAAAGTTACAGCAAAAATGGCATGTAATAAGATGGATTGAAAATGCCATTTCATATGGATTTTGTGCCTATTATGAACATGGTATTTCATCTGTTTAACTTCTGATTTCAGTGGATTAAAATCCTCAAGCATGCTGTCATGAGCTGTGTCATCTCCCTGTTGGGTTTCTTTGGGTTGACACTCTGTGGACCACTCAGGTTTGTTTTTGGGCTAAATCTAGAAATTAGCATCTTCCTCCCTCTGTGCTGTTATTTAACAAGCATTTGGCCTAAACGGATGTGATTTCTTTCAGGACCCTTTTGCTGTTTGAGCACAGTGATCTGGTGGTGATCTCTCTCCTCAGCGTTCTCTTCACCAGCTCTGGAGGGGGACCTTCTAAGGTCAGAATTCTAGAGAAATCATAACTGTATCAAAGAAAAGACCCAACTGAAAACTCATCTCTTCTGTCAGCACCTAACCGCGTCCTGTTAAAAAAAGAAAACTTCACTATTCTTTAATCCCTCATTGTTCTAACTTATACTATTCTAAACAATGTTGTAAACTGTGTATTAATAGTGCTTCTTGTGTTTATTTCCTTGGGATGCACCGAATGTTCGGCAACCGAAATTATTCGGCCGAAAATAGCAAAAAAAGCTCTTTCGGTGTTAGGCCGAATAAGAGAAAAGACCGAATAAACTGTACCGAACAATGACGTGACGCTATCAAATAGCAACCAGCATAGAGTGACACCGTGTCTACACCAGATGCGACAGTTGTTGTGTCGTGCCGTGCCGCAACAGCTAAAAAGTCTGTCTACACTGGACGCGACAAAGCGACCGTTGAAAATCATTTGAAATTTGTGTCAATACGTCATAAATAGAACGCGGCAGCAGTTTTCTGTCGGGGATTTGTTGTGTCGCGCTGCGCCGCATCCAGTGTAGACAGCATCACTGATTATAATGAGTTCTATAGTATTTTGTCGCGCCGCTTGCGTCCGGTGTAGACACGGTGTGAGAGGCGTGCACTCTTTATACACACGTCAGCAGTGTGGAAGCATTTAAACTGTCCGAGAAAGACACAAAAATCATTACAAGCACAGACAGCGAGAGACTGTTTAGGACTGCATTGCATGTCTTCGATGAGAAGAGGAAGGGGTGATTGTTGCTGGTTACTGTATGATGATTGAAATCGCGAAATGGCCTTAAACAATTGGTAAATAAACTGCAGAACGTCATGTTTTCTAATACACGCACGCATTGCATGTATTCTGACAGCGATGCACGAGCTCGCAGCGGATCTGCTTGTTAACCAGGGTTCAAAGTCCAAAGCCTGTGGAAAATCTGCGCTGAACCAGTGTTACTCGTCAGTTGCTCAGTCACATTTTTAGGATTTTCTTACAAGGTATGTGACAAAGCGATACGTACGACGTATTCGTAAAGAGACTCATTTATAAATCTACTGTTGTCAACAAAAAGAAGCATTGAGGTCTTCCTGCGCATTTCTGGCAAAATAAAAGTTGAGAAAAAGCAAGAACTCCATCAACATTCATAAATGTTAGTATTGTAATTTTACTGTTGTTCTGAAAAAATAAAAAGACAATAATAATAATAATAATAATAATAATAATTACAACAGCACACATAGTGTTCAAATTGGGATCTGTAATATTTTCTAATGTTTTAAAAGAAGTCTCTTCTCAGCAAGGCTGCTTTTATTTGTACAGTAAAAAAAAAAATACATGCCTGATTCAAGAAGGGGATCTGATGGCCAAAAAATATTATTTTACTAACTTATTAATTTTAAGTTAAATTGTGCTTTGTTGGTATAATGTCTGCTAGAATGTTAAAAAATGTTCAGTGTTAAATATTTTTAAATAGTTTTTTTAATTGATTTTTTCTTTGACAAGCCAGACAAAACAGTAAAAAGCAGATTTTGGCTATATAATGTATGCAATGGTGAAAAAAATTGGCAAAATACATGGGGGGGAAAAAACTCGAAAAACCGTATTCGGCCTTTGGCCCAGTGTTTCATTTTGTTCGGTTTCGGCTTCGTCCAAGAATTTTAATTTCGGTGCATCCCTATTATTTCCTCTTAATGATGAATCACTTGTATTCTTCATTTGTAAGTCACTTTGTATAAAAGCGTCTGCTAAATGAATAAATGTAAATGTAGAATGAACCATATACATTTGTGGTCAAAACTTTACCTACACTTTGCAGTATCTGCAAAATGTTAATTATTTAACCAAAATAAGAGGGATCATACAAAATGCATGTTATTTTTTATTTAGTACTGACTTGAATAAGATATTTCACATAAAAGATGTTTACATATAGTCCACAAGAGAAAATAATAGTTTTTAAAAGAATTTATAAAAATTACTTTTTACAAAAGTTTACATACGCTTGATTCTTAATACTGTGTTGTTGCCTGGATGATCCACTGACGTTTTGTTTTGTTTTGTCATGTTCACGAGCCCCTTGTTTGTCCTGAACAGTTAAACTGCCTGCTGTTCTTCAGAAAAATCCTTCAGATCCCACAAATTCTTTGATTTTCCAGCATCTTTTGCATATTTTAACCCTTTCCGACAATGACTGTATGATTTTGAGATCCATCTTTTCACACTGAGGACAACTGAGGGACTTACATGCAACTATTACAAAAAGTTCAAACGCTCACTGACGCTCCAGAAGGAAACACGATGCATTAAGAGCCTGGAGGTGAAAACATTTTTTATTTAAAGAGCAGGGTAAATTGAACTTTTTTTTTTGTCTTCTGGGAAACCTGTAAGTAGCTTCTGAAGGGCAGTACTAAATGAAAAAAAAATATGATATTTGGGAAGAAAAATTTACACATCTTCATTCTGTTCAAACGTTTACACCTCTGGCTCTTAATGCCAGTGTTTCTATCTGGAGCATCAGTGAGCGTTTTAACTTTTTGTAATAATTGTCCTGTTATTCTCAGTGTGAAAAGATGGATCTCAAAATCATACGCAAAAGATGTTGGAAAACTAGGGCTGGACAATAATTCAATATCAATATGTATCGCGATATAATTTTTTTCAATAACGGTGATATGATTTTTAAACACATTTCCGATATTTCGATATACATTACCAGTTTCCCATACATTGATTTATTTGTGTCGTTTGACTTCGTTGAATAAACATGAGCACTGCACGTTTCAAAATCATAACACGGCGCGGGTGTTTTATATGAATGTATCTCTGAAGGGAACTGACTGTCTTCAGAAAAGTTTCGATGGCATTTTCATTTGGTCTGATAAAGTAGCATTCATGAGCGGAGCTGCTTTGATTACAGCCATTACTGGAGAAACCGCTAGTTTTAGCACTCTAAAAGCGCCTCCTGCTGGCGGAGAATCAGTTTGCATTTTTAATAATAAGCCCGTCTCCAGCAACATGTTTTTGTTGTTGCTCAATTTTTTTTGTTTTCTGAAGCGACTCGGAGCACTTTTCATACCCTTTTTTCTGGCTGAAGCACATTTGTTTCAATCTATAAGAATAATCAGCCTACACTACCAGTCAAAAGTTTTTGAACAGTA